AATAGTTATGAGTGAAATAATAGGGTTAAGAATGGTGAAATCCAAATGAAATACAATAGAAGGGGAAATAACGTAAGGTGAGCGATATCGATTGATAATTGCTGTTAGAAAGAACAGGAAGCTCCTGTTCGTATTGTATTGTGTAAATGTGGTATATGTCTAAGTTTTGTGTGTGTGTATTTTACATGTTTGTTACTAAAAAATAAAAAATAAATTAAAAAAATCTGCCAACCGCCTCAGGATTAAAGATCCGAAAAGCTGTCTTTTTCAGCATTATGTTCTCTAAACAAGAGAAGATACAAAAAGATGGTGTTATAAAACCACAACTATATTGAAAATGGCCTGGGTTTTTTCTCCCTAATCATAAACAGTGACAGCTCAAGAGAAACATGATTGAACAATCAGGTGTGTCGGCTATTTTTCTTCTCACAAAAAGCTTGGTGGTTTAAGAGCTTCAAGTTTGGAGCGATTCTCAGTCATCCAGGCCATGGTTGTCCCAAAGGTGCTTTTCTCTTCAGGAGGCAACTGGACTTTGTTATTTTTTCTTTTGAAGACGTTTCACTTCTCACATCCAAGAAGCTTCTTCAGCTCTGACAGGATAGTGGGGAATGGAAGGATTTATATTCCTTGCAGACAGCTAGTCATTTGCAGCCTTTTAGAGCAGTGGTTCTCAACCTTCCCAATGCCGTGACCCTTTAATACAGTTCCTCATATTGTGGTGACCCCCAACCATAAAATTGGGGTCTTGGTTCCTAAGGACCTCGAAAATATGTCTTTCCTCAATGAATTCAAGTTTGACATCCCGCCATAGGTATTTCCATCCATTACTTCTTGCTCTGCCTTCAGAATAATTTGACTCCCTCTTCGTGATAGACTCTTGGAAGGCTGCTGTCATGTCACCCCTAGTACTTTTGTTCATTAGACATACCCAGTTCCTGCGACTGTTCATCATATGTTTTAGTTTCCAGTGCCCTCATCAATTTTGTTGCTCATATCTGCACTCTTTCTAGAGTCTCAATGTCTTTTTGTATTATGTGACCAAACCTGGACACAGTATTCCAAGTATGGTCTCACCAAAGTTGTATAAAGCAGTACTAACACTTCAGTATTCCATGTCTGGCCTCAGTCAAAGAATTGTTCTGAATCCCTCCACTTACTGTTTATAATTTTCACTTTCCATAAAGTTATATTTTAGTGCGTTAACATGTATGTAAATCTTCAGGCACTTCAAAGACTAACTGACTCCACTCTTGCAAATACGATGACTGAGTGGAAGGGAAACGTCTGGATTTCTCTCAGGAATGAACTTCAAGCCAGGATCTGTTTCCAAGAAGTGTTTTATTCTGGTCAGTTGTGCAGAGATGGTTTCCAAATAGGAATGTGTGGTGATAATTATTTGATAGAAGGGCAGAAAGCAAAATTATTTCCAATTCTTTTTCTGTTTCTCTGTCCATTTTTTGCTTGTTTTGCATATGTTTTACCTACATTAAACTTTTTTTACTTTAAGAAAAAATGTGTCACACAATTATGGTGGCATTATGTTTTGCATGTGCATATCTCTTACAACTGTATGAAACGTTTCTTTGGAAAGTTTATCATTTTCTTTTAGTGTATATGGACAGTCACTTCCTCCTTTGTAAGACAGAAAAGGTGCTCCCAGACTCCTCTTGATATACTGTATAGATATTGAATGAATCCCAGCATTCCAGTCAGCAATGGCAGGTCCAAAAGGTGATGGATTTTGTAGTCTTTTCACATCTGCAGGACAGTCTCACCTATTCTATTCTACTCTACTCTTCTGTGCTCCGCTCCGCTCTAATTCCTATTCTATTCCTATTCTATTCCTATTCCTATCCTACCCTATCCTTAATTCTATTCTTTTCTGCCTAGCCCTAGTCCTAGCCCAGTCTATATTCAACAGTGCTGAATTCCTAATTTCCCCCTGTAGATCCAGATGAGCAGATGAAGCTAAAACATATGAAGAACGGTTGCAGGAACTGGTTATGTCTAGTTTAATGATAAGAAGGACTAGGGGAGACATGATAGCAGCCTTCC